TGGATCAGTAGAGGGGCTCCGAAAATCTGAAGACATACCCGAACCGTTAGTTACCCACTTCTGCTTTTCTTTTCTTGACCACCGAACTCCAGGAAAATGGCCCTGAGATGGAGGTCTAGTGCTTCCTTTCAGCTGTGGATTAACAGAACAGGATGTAGAAGAAAAGTCAGCGCAACACTGAGAATGACGAAACCCCTCGTCAACAGGTCTTACACTAGCCTCTGCAGCAGAGAGATTCATCCATCTCCTCTTTTCCGGCGAGTTCCAGACAGTTCCGGGGTATCCATTTAAGTGTGGACTATGCGAAGTACTTATAACATGAGAGTGAGGTGGGTTGGGCTTTGATTTAAGAAAAGAGATGCGCCCCCCCCGGTAACCTTAGTCATTGAATTGCTTAAGTGTTGCCCATTACGCTTGGGCTTTGCAAAAATAAGAGAGCTCGGCTTCTCATTCAGGATTGAAATTGATAGCTGGTTGCTAGTTCCCAATTAACGGCCCTTTTAATTTTCTGAAAGCTGTTAGTTAGCCCATTAAACAAAAAAGGCCCAGAACGTGTAACAGGGCCATACTTAGGCCCATTAGTGGCTATTGCATGAGTGGCTCCATTAATGCCACGATCTTTGCCATGTGTTTGGTGATTTTTGAAACGGGCAAATCGAGATGGTGGGCGATGATCGAGGACATGATTAACACGACTCCTGGATCTGCTCTTTCTACTCGCTTCAGGCGCGTGGGCATGCAATCGGCTGTTTCCTTTGAAGCCCTGACGGAACTGTAAATTCCGGCGACCCCCTTTGATGATCGTTGCAGCACGCGGGAAGTAGGAACTCTCCCCACCTTCATAGTGAGACATCAGGAGGATATGAGGTGTGACTTCCTCAATCAAATTGACCTTAAAGGCCACTCTTTGATCCTCAACAAAGACGTACTCCGGCATCTTTTTTCCGGCGGAAACAAAGAGAAGGATTCTCTCTCCACTCGCCGAAACATCAGCCTCAACACCTCTAAATCCACCACATAGATTTTCGATTGCTTCAAATAACTTATGGCACCACAAGTGAAGGGGCAAGCCAAATAACATCACCCTCCGTATACTGCGATCTTTCATTGCAGAACATCTAACCGCGAAATACCAGATGTTGATGGATAACAATGCTTCACCCCATCTTTTCCTTCCTTCATCCAATACCCTTAAAGCCTCTTGCTTCGACGGAAACCCGAACAGAAAAAGATCGTCGGGAAGGGAAGAAACTTTTACGCCGCTTGAAACCTTCCAAGCTTTCGTAGCCCACGCCTCAATCCCTTCAATACACCCCACATCTCTGTCAAAACGACCTACTAGACATGACCGCAAAACAAATTCACGTTCCTTGATGCTTTGATGATCAACCCTAAAGACCGAGTCGCCGCCTATGGAACAACTTTTGATTTCACCATGGAAGTTGAGATGAGGTAAGGTCGCTACACTGCAATCTTATGCTTGGATGTTTGTGAAGAGAGAAAGATGAAATTGTTTCTCTTTTAAAAATAATCCTAAAGATTTCTATTGGCATAACAAAGAGGCAAAGAATAATATTTTAAAACCCTAATACCCTTAGGAGGCTTTATTTTGGATAAAAAGAGTTCTTTTTGGTTATCGGGCTTGACGGAATCACACAAGTTGTTTCCAAGTTTTGGGTTGCGTGATTCCCTTTTGATTTGCATAGATACTTTAATGCTATGTTTGGTTGGAGGGAAGGATTGAGGAGGGATGGATGGGAGGGAGGATTAAAGAAATTTTGTGTGTTTGGTTGAAGGGAATGGAAAAGAGGGAGGAAGCATGGAGGGATGCTTCATCCTTCCTTTGTAATTTTCTATCTGCCTAAAATTGTAGGGAGGAGGAGAGAGAAAGTAGGACTTTAGGATAATAACCAACAACTTTTTAATTTTCCTTTTTAACCTTTTTTTTGCATAATTTGGAATGGATATATTTTTATAATTTTATATAATGAGTGTATATTAATAAAAACAATTTAAAAACTCTTTTTCTCTTCCTTCCAACCAAACAAAAAAATGTCACCACATCCATCATTTCTACTATCTATTGCATCCAACCAAACAAAAAATGAGGGAGGCACCTTCCCTTCTCTAGGGATGCCTCATCCATCCCTTCCCCGCTCCCTTCCATCAATTTTTCCATCCCTCCAACCAAACGAAGCATAAGATTCCTTAAATATGAGATTCAGCATAGCAATTCTTTTCGAAATAATAAGATTTGAATTGTGAACTTAAGATTTTAAAACTATAGATCACCTCTACCTTTTAGAATATTTGGCATGATCTGCTGTATTATATATATATATTACCTTTTGCATTTTGATCCTCATTTTTGGTTGTTTTGGTTACTGTTTTTCATCTTTTCTCTTTGTTTTTGACATTTTCCTTTGGATGATTTTCTTCCCTGTTTTTATGATCTTTTTCTTTTTGAAATGTTTCCTTGTTTGGCACATGAAAAGAACTTATCAAGGTTAACGAACCCTAGTAATCTTAATCTTCACTTAGAAAACCATACATTCTATAACTATGTGGGATAAGGAAGCCACTTTGATCTTTTAAAATAAATCACATTGTTGGAGTTGCAATTTAGGTCCAGGGCGAATTAGGTTTTGAAGAGGGAAGAGAAGGAATGAGAAGGGAAAAAGAAGTAAAGAAGGGATGTAGAATGTCTTGACATCTCTAAAAGTGAGATTTACAATATTATTCCACGTGGTAAGCTCTCGCTAATTATGATCACTACACAAATATTTCCACATATTCCAACACTCCCCCTCAAGTTGGTGCATAGATATCTATCATTCCCAACTTGCCTACAATAGAGTGGAAGGCATTGCAACTCAAATCCTTTAGTGTACACATCAGCTAGCTGTTTTGATTTCACGAAGGGCATGCAAATCACTCCATTATTTAACTTCTCCTTGATGAAGTGTACGTCAATCTCAATATGCTTTGTTCTATCATGTTGGACTGGGTTATGCGTAGTATCAATGGTTGCTTTGTTGTTACAATAAAGTCTCATAGTTCCATCATTCATAATACCCAAATCTCTCATCAAGGTCTGAATCCACATGAGTTTGCATGCCCCATAACCTTAACCCCGTATTCTAGTTCAGCATTGGACCTAGCCAGTACTGATTGTTTCTTGCATGCCCTTCGTGAAATCAGGAAAGTCTCATCATCAACCGAGCCTACACAACCTGCATCTGTAAAAGCCTCCAGAAGCAAATGTCCGTGATAGATCATGCACGGTCTCTAAATGAGTGGTGCGAGGATCATGCATAAGTTGTTTGGATAGATCGAGCTTGGCTTGGATCAATCGATTGTTGCCTAAAGTCAGTAAAACACGCGTTTCCAAGTCCGGGTGGTCTCTAAACCCTCCAAAACTCACCCAAAACGTTTCTAACTAATATCCAATCATTCCAACACTATAAATATGTGTACTACTGTTAGCTGCACCACATATGAGAGATTGAGAGTTCTTTATATCGTACAGTTAGAACTAAATACAAAACCGTATATTGTTATCGTGTGATTGATTGTTTAAATCAAGAAAAATCTGTGAAGATGATTAACCACAACATCCATCCATGAATAGTTGGTTCGTGAGACGGCAAACAATCACTATAAGAAGAGTGAATCGTGTTAGGTAACGGATACGTTGACCGATGGTAGCAAAACTTAGGTGGAGTGCCTGACGTGAGTTTGGATCAAAGGTAACGTTGATCATTGTTAGGGGTCAATATCTCGGGTTGTACTCTCCTAGAGTATAAAGGATTCTTTCCTTGTGGCTGCCTCGTGGTTTTTCCCTTTAGGTTTTTTTCACGTAAATCTCTGTGTCCATGATTTACACTGCTTACTGCTTTATGGTTTGGATTGTTTGATTATTCACATGAGCATGATTAATTAATTGGTTGATGATATTGGTTAAGGCTAAAATCAAGCAAATATTTATCAAAGTATGGATAGGACCTATTCAAACTCCCTCTAGGTCTTAATGAACCCATAACACCTATTATAACTTGGGTTTACAATTGCTATCAGAGCATATAAAATCTATGTCACTGTTTTTTTTTTTCTCCTTTCCTGAATCTGTTGTATTCGGGCATCTATTTTGTATCATATCGATGTATCCACAATTATGCCATATGGCAGAAGGCATGGTTTCCTTCTAAGTATCAGTTGGAAACATGTTCAATGAGAACTTATTTCAGCTGTAACTGATTATGATTAGGACTGCAAATTCTAAAGTTTGCCCACCCCCCAACCCCCACAAACACACCCCCCCCCCCCCCCCCCCATTTTATAGTGAACATCTAACCTAAAATCAATGGCTGCACTCCTGGAAGCTTCTAGCCTAGGATCTTTACCTGTTCTAAATTTGTTTACTTAGGACAGATACAGAAGTCAATGGTATGGACACAAGGTACATGAAGACCTACTGGTAATTGAAACCTTTAGACATTTTTGCTTCGATACTTGCAAAAATAAAAAAGTGATTTTAATATTTGGACAGACCTTGGTGTCAGTGTCTAAACTGTATGAAGCTCGATGTTTGCTTGGTGCTTTGTCATGCATGCTTATCTAAAATCACTTCTACTCTATGCGTATCACCTGTCCATTTTAAATTACTTTTGTTGTGACTATTTCTTTAATAATTGATAGTGATTTTTTTTTTTCCTACCTGATTGTAAACTGTAGATATTTTTTTCTTCTTATACCTCGAAACCCTAGTTGTTTGATATAATAGATGTTTTGCGTCTTGTATGGTAACGGTTTTCAGAAACCAGCGTTTTCTTTTGATTTTGTTAGTTATTAGTAGTAAAAAGTATATTTGCAGCTCCCCCTGTCCTTTCCATCCAAAGAAGAAGAAAAGTAATAATAAAAAAAAAAAAAAAGAAAAAAAAACATGGCAATCATTACTTGAAGGTTGGTGTATGAACCTGATATGTACTTTTAACATGCAGTGACTGAAGATTTCTCCTGTCCATTCTGCTTGGTAAAATGTTCAAGCTTTAAGGTAAACATGATGCCAAGTATAATTACTTATTTTTTTCTGAATGAAAAATAACTGATCATATATAGCTTTGTTGTCACACTTACTAGAAAAACTTAATTCGTTGTAGGGTCTGAGACATCACTTGTCCGCATCACATGATCTTTTCAACTTTGAGTATTGGGTTGGTAAACTTCAGGAATCTGTAATGGCATTTGATCATTTTGTTCTTTTGAATCTTAGCTATTTACCTTGTTACTATTGTGTAGGTAAATGAAGAGTATCAAGCGGTGAATGTATCTGTAAAAACTGATATATGGAGATATGAGGTTAGAACACTATTTCCACCCTGAAACACTATGGAAGATTAATAGTATTTGATTTGTCTACTCCTGAATGTTTGTACTTCATATTGAGAAGTACTTCCATGAAGATAAATATATGTATAAACACACATGTTCACACATTATATGTATGTATATGCATCTAGATACTAATTTCTTAATTTACTTTACAAATACACTTTCCTGTGAATTTTGCATATATTCTTGATGAAGAAACCACAGCACAGTGCAAATTTGCTGTTATTCATGCAGCACGAGGCTCTGTGTAGATGACAGGAATGAGAGACGGGGAATGAAAATCCATTACTAGGGCTGGGATGCCTAGTAGTGTAATATACAAGTCTAACCACCAAAACAAGAAAAGGTTTTTGCTATTCACTATAGTCGAGCATTTGGACACATTAAGAATTGTCCTAAAAACAAGATTGATCCAATTTTAGTTCGATAATGATTTATGAATTAAAATTGTTTTCTTTTGGTAATTTGGCTGTTCAATTCATTGACGATTCAATTAACATTAAAGGATAATTATTTACTTTTTATTCATTTAAATATAATATTTTCCTAGGGTTTCATTGAGTTGGACTATGATTTGAGTTGAACTCTTATTCGACTGGGGTAAGGTAAGATTACGAAACCAAGTCACTGTCATCGTATAATCAATTATAATCGGACCAAAATTCAAACTTTCATAGGTCTAAGCTTGCTAAATTTGATGGTTAAATATGGATTTGAGTTAGATTTTAGTAAATTTCACTGATATAATTTTTTTTTTTTTGATAAATAAAAGTGTATTAGAAGGCGTTCAAAAGGGGAACGCATCCCAAGAGCTGTACAAGAACCATGAACACAAACCAAAAAAGCCTAGGGATCCAAAGACCCCAAAAAAACCAAAAGCTCCTCAACGGAAGAACAATCTCTCCCCATGCCCCAACTAAAAAGAGAACAAATAATAGAATACTTAAGAACCCCAATGGGTAATTCCTCCCTAGCAAAGGATCTTCTATTGCGCTCTTTCCATAAACACCACCAAATGCATAGCGGAGTTGCCCTCCAAAAGTCACGAACTCGAGGCCCCACCATCTGCCCCCTCCAAATATCGATAAGACCTCGAGAGGTCCGAGGCATAACCCACTGAACACCAAAAAGACCCAACATAAGACTCCAACAGTCATAGGCCACTGGGCAGTGCAAGAGAAGGTGGTCCACACACTCTCCATCGGTCATACATAGACAACACCGATTAACAATGACCTGTCCCCTCTTCCTCAAATTGTCCAGAGTCAGGATCTTGCCCCAAGCAGCAGTCCACACAAAAAACGCGACCCTAAGAGGAGCCTTCGAATGCCAAACCGTTTTCCATGGATAAGAGGGAGCTTGAAAACTGGAAAGATGGAATAATATGAATTTTCAATTCTAAATTAATAATATGAATTTTCAATTCTAAATTTTTTTTTTTTGATAAGTGGTTTTGTTTGGTTTGTTGATAAATTATTGATATATATTTTTTATAACAATGACAGTATTTTTAATACTAATTGTCATTGTTAAGATTTTGAGAGGTTGACCAAAACTAACATGGGATGAACTGATGAAGTTATTAGAAATGATTTTTGAAAAGTTAAATATAATAGGAGAAATAACTTTTTAATAGAAAAGAATGGGAAAAAAGAAAAAAGAAAAAAAGAATTCACGTATCACAGCTATATGGAAGGAAGACAAGGGTAATGATGATCATTGTTAAGACTGAAACTTCACTTGTATAGTTATAGTAATTTAAGTTTTGTCAGCAGTATTTATATTTTCTCGTGAGTTTTGGATAATAAAATTATTTTTTTAATTCTTTAGTTAACTATTAAATAGTTATGAGAAATGGTTATAGATTGTCTTGTTCTTGTATTCATGCTTTGGTTCTCACTAGGGTTTGCAATTCTATCCCGTGCTGCCAAGCCCCTAATGGAATGGGTTTGGACATGTTATAAATTTTAATTAAAGTAGGGACAGGTTTAGGAATAATAGTTGAAATTTGTGGCCTCCGCTGCCTTGGCCTAGCCCATTTAGTTTAAAGCTATATATAAAAACATATTTATATTTTATTGAGATTTTGTTCTTTTCATTGTTTTTAGTGCTATTTTAGATTAGTAACTACAAAGTTAACTAAATTTGTTATTATAATTATTAAGTCTTTTTTTTTTTATATTTAATTTTTCTATGTTAAAATTTGAATTATTCATAATGGGACACCTGAATGGTCCCCAGCCCTGAAATGGAGCTGGTTTGGGAATTTGATTTTCTTTGTGGGCCGGGTTTGGGATATGGTGCCCCATCCCAAACCCGTCTTGTTGACATGCCTAATTCTCACATAGATTGACAATGGAATTAACCTGCTGGGAATAAGTATCCACTCTTTGGGGGAAATTACTTTCTTGAAGGAATGGGATTTCCTTCAACAACACATCCTAATTTGATAATTGGGTAGATAAAAATATTGATTTCCATTCCAACGCATCATTCCTGCAATCTCATATTTTCCTTTTAGATTCCGTACCCTCATTTAATTGTCGTCCAATGTCCTCCAGTTATATGACATAAAGTTGTAAAATGCTATGGGTAGCTTATGCTAATAACCTTTGTCATCTTGCACACTAACCTTGATATGGGAAAAATTGCCATTTTTTCAACTGCTAACTGGTGCTTCATGTCTTTTCCTTGATGCATTGACATGTGCAAGGTGCAAACCAATATATACAAATTTTTCGAAGTGGTATGAGATGAAAATGCATTTCTTTTTTATGTTACATGTCTGATTTTTCTTTTGCTGTGTGGTTAGATTGTTGCAGATGGTGTTGATCCTAAGCAACAAACATTTTTCTTTTGGTAAGTTATTATTTTTCTTGGTTTAGAATCAAATAGTTCCTTTGAGTCTGATGTCACTTCAATATGAATGCCCACTGAAGTTTGTGAACACAATATATGTACAGTTCAAAGCCGCCAAGACGTAGAAAACTGAGTAACCTAATTCAAAATGCAAAGCATGTGCGACCACTCGTCTTGGATTCAGACTTCCCTACAGCAATCGATGACCTTCAGGACAAGACTGATGGTACTGTTTCTTTTGTCTCTCTCTCTCTCTCTCTCTCTCTCTCTCTCTCTCTCTCTCTATTGTTTTTTGACTCAATTATTTTTAGAATTGGAGAACTAATTGTTATTACTTTGTGCAAAATATGCCCATGTGATACTTCTAACTGAGTGATTTAATGCACTTCATGGTAGAAGTAGGCTGATATTGGAAGGACATATGATTGAACTCATTTGTTGTAACTTTTTGTGTCCTATAAAGACTCTCCAGAATGATGGCTACTAACATTTGTTTGGATGATGATTCTTTTTAGCTCAAAAGAAAAAAGGATAAGTAGTTATGATATCTGTAGTAGTATTTCTTATGCTCATTTTTAAATTATTGAACAGTCAGTCTTGAGTCTCCGGCTAGTAATTCCATAGTAGGTGATACAGTTGTTTTTTTAGTGGGAATGATTTGCATGATGCTATTCCAGGTGTCGCAGAGTTTATGGACTGTGATGCATCCAGCCCAAATGTCACAGGGGTTTCAACTGCTACAGCTCAATCATTTGTAGATCCTGAATGCGTTCAATCAGTACCTGGAAGCAACCTTGCACCTCCTGCCATGCTACAATTTGCAAAGACAAGGAAGTTATCTATCGAACGTTCAGACCCTAGAAAGTATGTCACCGATCTGTCTGTTTTATTTATTGATTTTATTTATTTACTTTTATCGTCTTTGCATTAATTTTGCAGAAATTTTAGTATGTTGTTAAGAAAAGATGAAGAATTATATGCTAGAATAGTTAACTAGTCATAGTTAAAGCATCACCTAGTGTACACCGTACTGCCTGCCTCCTACACTAGGCCCTACATGGTTTGCAGCGTTCTGCCAGGCTGTCTAAGTACATGCAAGTAGTGGCAATCACCTAGACATGCTTGGTAATGTACGGAAAGGCTGTGTGGTTTGACCTTTGGAACACTTGTTTTGACCAATTGCCACATTATGATAACGTGGAACCCTCAAGATTAGATGATTTTTATCATATGACTTTCAGAGCTTGCGAAGCAGTGTCTCAACTGGTTCCACCTTGAACATAAATTGCTGCGTTATGTCAAATCATAATGGGTATGCAGCAGCACTTACGTTTGGACTAAAGCCTTGTAAACGAACTCAATTCAGGACTTTCTATGACATTACAAACTCGATTCAGGACTTTCTATGACATCTATGACTGCTTATTTCCAGTAGATATTGCAAGGGCACAAACTTTTTAACTTTTTGAAGGAATAGTTTTGACCCATCTTTTCATCTTTCCAAGACATGCCACCTTTTTCAAGGCTTTAGGTGGTAGTTTACTATCATTTTAATTAAATCTTCTGGGTTTGAGTCAGGTTTTAGGTCCAGACATTTTGTATCTTTCTAAATAACTATTATTTTTAACAAGTCATGTATTTAGTTGCATGAGTTTGGATCTGATCTTGCTTCTTTTTTTCTCTCCCTTTCAGCCGGGCCCTCCTGCAGAAGCGCCAGTTCTTTCACTCACACAGAGCTCAGGTGTTAAGTCCTCGATACCTGATTTATGATTTTTTTTGCCCTCATCTCTGTTTATTGTGAATATCTGCCTAATTTCCGGGTTCACATACATAAGCCAGTAGCTATTTTCTTGTAGAAGTACTTATTTTGACAATTTCTCTCGCATTTCTAGCATTGTACCACTATCACATTTTCTATTTTTGGTAATGCTTATGTTTTTCTTGCATAGTTCTTGGGGTAGTTTCTAATCTTTTTTTTTTTTTTCTTTTTTCAAGTATGCGTGTTTGTGTGTGTGTTGAAGGGAGGGGGGATCGAGAACTTTTTAGAAATACATGGATATTTATGGTTAATTGTTCGGAATTTGACGCAAACAATTAATATCTTGGAAACATACATCTAGAATTAGTTTGAGAATTTCAGGTTGCGAGGAAATGTGTTGGATTGAGAAAAGGGATGTAGTTAAGTAAATAATGTAGAGAAGTTGATGACGAATCCTTCTGAGGGAAGAGAAACGGAATATAAATTAGAAAACCAGCCCGGATGAGCCCAAATCAACCCCACCCACACCCCCAAAAAGAAAGAAAGAAAGAAAGGGAAATATAAAGCAAACTGAACAAGATCCACAATGGGGGTGGAAAACAGAAAGTAAAATGCCAAATATTGAGTAGGAATGTGCTGAAATATCATAGCATAGTGACATTTGCTTATAAATAAAACATTGAGACGTTCACAAGTCTGATCCAAACTTTTCCAGCAGAAATATTTTGCTTTAATTTTTCCCTTTCTTTTCCATTTTTCTAGCATAGTTTGTTTGTCTGTTGGTTGGGGCTGTTCCACCCTTTCACCCAGCAATCGGGATAGCAATGTGGAGTCTAACTCTGTCTGGGTGGACTACACATGCTTCTATGTATACTTTATATATAACATGCTTCTATCTACACATGCTTTTTGAATTTTTTTAGATAAATGTTCTGGGTTATAGATAGTAGTTTTATTAAAGTTGTGGTCTATAACATTTGAAGTAAACTTTGTAATGGGGCTTGATTATTGTGGAAAATGTCTTCAATGTTTCTTTGGGCCCCTTGGTGCTCTCTTTGCTTAGTATAATTAATGCAGAACAGAAAATTGACTGGGTTATTAAAACTGATGTTAAGACTCCAAAAGAGAGAAAAAAACAAAATCAAAACACCAAAAATACTAAAAGTTTCTTTTTCTCAATGAAAGCACAAAAAGTTTATGTTTCACATTCTGCTCTTGCTGTCATTATTCAGTTTCTGTTGTTTCTGTTTCACTTGTTGATGTTTCTTGCTTGATGTTTTCGGCCAGTCACATCATTCATCAACATTTGCAAAAATAGAATATTCCTATTTAACAGTTCCAATTTTTCAATCACAACATTTAATAATAACAATTCTGGGAATCATACATCCACATATCTGAGATTGACATTTTTCTTGTGATCGAAGCCGATGGGATTGGAGCAAGTATTGTCAGATCGGGATAGTGAGGATGAAGTTGATGATGATGTTGCAGATTTTGAAGATCGCAGGGTATGTTTGATGATTATATGCACTATTTTTGTTTTTAATTTTGTATTCTTTCATGTGTATAGCAACCGTTTACTAAAGTATATGTGTAGTCCAGTGCATTTATTGGTATGTCTGTTGGAATTTTGATCCCATTCTGCATTGTAAATGAGTATCTGAACATGTAATGATTGACCAGTTGGTTAATGTTCAGAAGCATAATTTCTGAGGCTTATTGGTACGTCATTTTTGACTACTTTTTAGAATCTTTAGGTTTAATAAGAAAAATAATTAGAAAAAGTTAAGGTAATTAAATCATGTAATTTTCTTCAATATCCTATCAAATGCAAAGTAATAGTTAAGAAGTTTCTATTTATTATTTGTGTCATTTGCAGTTTGACAGCACATTGTTGGTTCCTCAATTTGATCCTTTGGGAGGGTAGAAGTAATAAATTTGTCAATAAATTATTGTTGTGAAGTCCTTGGAATTTTATTGATGTAATTTAAGAGGATCTTAATGAGTTTGCACTACATAACCAATAGTTTTGGTTCTAGAAAGAGGTTAATGGCAAGCCACACTTTTTGGCCAGCAATGCTCCTCCTATGAATCTGGCACATTTACCAATGGGTTGGTGGTAGGTGAGACAGTCATGTAATCAGTTCAAACCCTTATGGATCACACTTCAATTCATAAAAGCAATCGGAATTAGATGCAATAAGGCTTGCTTTGGTTTTTCTTATTGTTTTCTTTTGTTATTTTAAAGTAATAATGAATTTTAAGGCAATAAAATCCGGAGATAACTCAATTTGAACTGTTAGTTCATCATTGATTTTATATGATTGACCTATAAGGTTGCAAATTTACTATCTTGGAAGTCTGACGTGCAAAGTGACGATCTAATGAGAGCATCACACTAGGTTACTTAAGCCCCAGGTTGTGCCTTAAGGTATTCTCCTTGGGCCTCAGCTTGAGGTTTAATTGCAGAAACTCTTAAATAGATGTCTGATTTGGCAGTGTGGTTTAAGTCCTCCTTTGTCCTGCATCCTATATCAAGATATTCTGATCTTAGTCCTCATGAAAATATCAACATTGACACACTGATGCGTTGCAGATGCTTGATGATTTTGTGGATGTCACCAAAGATGAGAAGCAAATGATGCATCTCTGGAACTCTTTTGTGAGGAAGCAACGGTAATAAAGTTCCTCCACTTCCTTTTGGATTGTTTTTGTTATCTCACTCCTTTTTTAGTCTCTGTCTGTGTGTCTCTCTCTCATGCACATGCGTACTCCAAAGCATATAATGATGACTAATGCTTGACGAGCATGATATCAGAGGCCATCCAGTTACATAGCTTCATGAACCTCCAAGAAATGGAAAATGCTCTATATTCTTGCACGTTATATATATATATATATATATGATTGTGTGGAATCTGACTGTGTCTATTGGTTGGGATATGCAATTAGCATGTTTTTATGAGATTATGGGTTCTTTTGGCGGATCTCTACAATTGACATAATTAGTGTGTCTTGTGCCCAATTCTGCATTTCTAACATGTATACTCTTTTTTTTATTTATTATTTTTTTTGGCATTTTTAAGGCCTGGTTTTGATTGTGATGTTTGCAATGCTGCGTTTTTTGTTCATATACTCCATTATTTAGCATTTTTAGGGCTGCTTTGGCTGTTGTGATGTTTAAACACCGATTTTGACAGTTTATTCGTCATGATGGTAGGGTGCTGGCAGATGGCCATATTCCTTGGGCATGCGAGGCATTTTCAAACTTGCATGGACAAGATCTTGTCCGCACACCGGCCCTGCTTTGGTAGCTTTCTCTCCTCCTTGTCTTTAAGTTGTGGCATTGGACACTTCTAACCTATCCTTTTCTGTAATTGTTCTTCCCCCGGTGCTTTTGCTTAGCATTTGCCTGTCTTCATATGTGCATGTTCACTAATGACATATTAAAGTATGTATGTTTTGGTTCAACTCCTCTTCTAAAACTTGATTCATTAATGCAAGTTTAGGTGAGTACAACTTGCCAATTTCTCCGGTACATGTGCTGCTGATCTGGACACACTTTTGTATATGCATCTCTTGAAATGGTGTAGAACAAAGAGCAATTGAAAATTTGTTGCAAGGTGTTAATCTGCAAGCCCATTAACGCCTGACGAGCCTCCCTAATCTGACGATTACCTTTTTAAATAAATTATGAAAAAAAAAAAACCATTTAACTGTGAATGAGATCTATACACAAATGAGTTATTTGCTTTCATGGAACTTAATAAAACACTGACAGGGGATGTGATTAGACTTTTATTGTGCCCTGCAAACTTGAGTCTGGACCACTCTAACTCCAACTAAACAATGTTATTTTTCATGAGAAGATAGAAAATTGCCTTTATCACTGTCCTTAAATTGAAGGTTGTACCATATTTAAAATTTATTAGGCATTTGATTTAATAAATCAATAAACTTTGACTTGTTGCTATCATCTTTCAGTCTTATCTAGACATGCCAATCAATCTTATTGAACACTCCTTTGTTACCTAGTGGACTACCTGAGGTTATTTGTTGAATGGACTAATCGTCTTTTTCTTAAAATCTTCACTCATCTAACTGGTCATCTATACTTTAGCTTACATGATGAAATTTGTTGTTTCTTTGCTGCCCATTGTCGATATTTTCATTGAGCATATTAAATTTCTGCCCAGTATATGATTTCTAGGGGAAGAAATTTGTTATTGAGCCAACTGGTGTCTCCTTCTCGCACATGGGAGGTTGAGGTGAAAGTCTACAATACCTCAGAGGTTCCAAGCCATTGGATGTGGTTGTGGGACCCACCTGATGGATGATTCAACCGCTAAGAGGCCCCGGGGGTACGGTAGCCCCGGGTTATTGTAGACTTTCTCGAGGTTGAGGGTTCAAGTCCCCACTCAGACAGTAGTGTGTCTTACTGTTTAAAAAAAAAAAAAAAAAAACCATTAAAAGAGCTAAACTGAGGAATCCAACTCGCTTTGGCTGATAGACAGAATACCAGACATCCACAACCCCCGAACTTCCTCTTCCCTTCCCCCCTAAAACGAAACAGAAAAAGGAAGGGGGAAAAGAAGAAGAAAAAGGAAGGGGAAGAAGAAGCAGAAGAAGAAGAAGAAGAAGAAGAAGAAGAAGAAGAAGAAAATTTACAGCCTTATAACCATGCAGCTCCCGTGGAGATTTTGCTTCACACCTTGTTTAATGAACTTTGGCCGATATAAGTTGTGCATCATCACTTGTAAAACTCCACGGGAGCTCATTTAACTTGCAGATTAGCAAGTTAACATGCACTCATTGCAACACACCTTTCCTTTTTTCTCATTTGGAACATGATGATCTTCACACCAGAAGCACATTTTTTGCTTATATTCTTGACTATATTTCACAAGCAATGCATTCAGTCACTTGCCTTTGTGAGCTTGAGTATCTAATCTTGTCATTGTTAAGGTATATCATGGATGTCAACAGTCTTGCCATCACAGCTTGATCCATTTCAGTGAACTTATATAATGGCTTGACTTACTCTAAACGTTGTTTTATGGTCCTATTTTATACATCTAACAGTAATGGACATACTGTGTACTATTAGGTATCTCTTGGTATGCCTATGCCGTTCTTGTTTTGCATTCCGTACTTCATGCTAACAATCCACATCATGCCATTTGCATATAACTTGGATCCTCGTCAATATGAAGCATCAGTTCTTTATATCATCACAAACTTACAGGTTGCTTTTAGACGCCCGGCACTTTGAAGAATCAAACAGAACTTGTAATAGATAATATCAAGCTCTCTGGTATAGGCATTTATCTCTCGGTTTGGGTCATTTAGTGACTCAAATCATGCAAAATTGCCACTTCTGAATGTTGCTATTGTGTTATTATTAGTAAAATATAACTATTTCACATAAATACTAGATTCTATTTCTTATTTATGTGGTTCCATCATGCAAGCTCTGGGCAAAATTTTCTATATATATAATATGCTCTGAATTATTAATGTTCTTGTATGGTTGTGGCAGGTGTTGGAGATTATTTATGATTAAACTGTGGAATCATGGTCTTCTTGACGCTCGAACCATGAACAATTGTAATATAGTGCTTGAAAAGTGCCAGAGTGATAACATGGATGCTACTAGAAGCTAAAGCTGTGATGATCTATATATCGGTGTAGGGAAATACATTGACGGTGATGAGAATAAGCTTCCTGATTAATTTAGGGACCTCTATCACCAAATTTGTAGCATTTTGTTGTACTATGTTCAACTCCATTCAACTTTTGTATGTCCGAGGCATAGCCTGTATAGATTTCTTTTTGTTCTTATTTATGGCAGTAAGAATTGTGTACTTGATCTGTTCGCCCTCATTTAAGTGCCAGACATTCATTTTAATCGCTATGTTGCAATGGGCTATGGTACATGTACATGTACAACTGATCAAGCTGTTACGGAACTTATCTCGGATGTGTTTAGGGCAAATATTTTAACTCGTTAAAAATTGCACATTTTTCTTTTAGAAAATTGATTGATAGTTTCTTCAAAAAAAAATTATAGTAAAAACTTAATTTCAAAACAATATTGCATAGTCTTGGATCGGACTTGGATCATCTAACTTAAAACTCCGGATATATCTTCTTCTTTTTTTTTTTAATTAGTAAAACTCTGGATATATCTGCGGCCTATGTTAAACCACCTATGTTAAACAACTTCAGCTAATTTAATAAATAGCCTATGTTAAATCACTTAAGCTAATTTAACAATGTTTTAAGATAAAAAAAAATCTTAACGATGTTCTCTCTCTCCTCTTCTCCGGAATAAGATGGTTCCCTCCCTCTTCTCAATTATTCTCACAAACTGATAACTCTCTTTATTTTCTGATAGGCTTGGTATGATATGCTTAAGGGTGTGTTCGGTTGCATAGAAGTGAAACATTGGAAGTGAAATTGAATTGGTGGAATTTGAGAAAAATAACTAAAAAAATTGAACTAAAATTTTCTCAAATTTTATCAATTCCAATTTTTAGGTTCGAACTCTATGTAGCAGAACACACTCTAAGAACTATTGATTGCTGAATTAATATTACATAGGTGACATTTACACTTAATTGCATGTCTTTCTAGTCAACCATTTACACTTCAATTTAAATATGAATCTGAATATGCATAAAAATGCATTCAGTTTTACAAACAAAAGATTTAGTTCTAATTAATGAAGAACGTCTCATTTATGTTAATATCATCACGGTCATAGCAAACTATGCTCAAAACTCAAATTTCACAAAAAAATCATTTAATCCCTCAAAACTCAAATTTCACAAAAAAATCATTTAATCTGGCACTATATACTATTAAATTGAAAACTTATTGTTCAAGTTCTTTTAATCAAATCACATAGTGATCTTTTTTTTTTCGGAAAAGAGAGCGATCTTTTTTCTCGGAAAAGAGGAGAGATAGAGTGAAAAGAGGAGAGAGAGTGCGACGTTAACGTTGTTAAGATATCCTAAAGCTTTTACTTTAAAAGGAGCAGTTTCTAACTTTTTATTAAATTAGCTCAAGTTATTTTTATCTTAAATGGCATATGTCATTATGTGGAGAATTATGTGGAGAATCCAGGAGTTTTAACTTAGATGATCCTAATTTGGTCATTACTCTGAACTCAATTTTTAAAATTTCAAATATAAATTGGGGTTAAAATCATAAAAGTCCCCTCTACTTTCTAAATCGTGTATAAAACTCCCAATAAAATTAAAAAATATCATAAACTAACAAAACTTATCAAGTTACCTCCAAACTCGTAATCGACCTATTAAATAGGTTGTGAAATATCAAATTAAAACTTGTTAATATTAAATTAAAAACTATAATTATTATTTTAAAATTAAAAAACGCCCCTTTATAATAATATTATTTAATATTAGATTAGTTGTTATCTTACTAGTGACTCATTTCTCGTCTCCAATATCATTTTTCATAAATTTTGCCTATTATAAAAATAAAGATAAATTTTGTATTAATAAATTTTATTAAAATTGCTAATCTCTCCTTCTATTTCACCACCCCCGAGAGAATATAACAAAATCAACTCATTAAGTGTTGATGTATTCCTCCAAATCCTTCAATTTTCTTTCTTTTCCTTCCAAAGTTTTATACCAAACACAAAAATCATATCCCCTTCATTTCTTTCCAACCAAACTGGGCTAAATTTCGACTGAATGAGTGGTTGATCCACTTCAATGGTGATAGAGACCCATGTTTGGATCCCGCATGCACTATTTACTTAAAAAAAAAAAAAAAAAAAAAAAAAAAAAAAAAAAAAAACAAGAACTAATTTTATATGAATAGGGACTGATACCATGGGATCATTCACATAAAACAATTAATCAAAGTTGAAACTTCTGTTTTGTATCACTTCTCTAATATATATGTAAATAAATATTTTACAACTTACGGTTAATGGGCTGCTAGTATATCGGGTTGAAAATCATGGACTTTAAGAGAGGCCCAATAACCAAACATTACATCTCAAGTGACTCTGTAATAGACGAGTGAGCTCAAGCGAACTCAGCAATGGCCTCAAAGCAACCGGAACTCGAAAGCTTTACTCTTTTTCCACCGTTGAATGAGAAAAATCAGTTAGGGTTAGGGTTAGGTTTTCTTGATTCTTCAGAAAAGCCTCTCCCACCTCCACCTCCTTGTGTTGAAGTACTTCCCTCTGAGGTAATACTTGAATACATATCATACATATAACCTATGTATACACACTCACATATATATATGTACGTATATCTAACCAGAAGCTTGATTGATTGCTTTTCGTGAAATAGGTTTCATCATCTGTGAAGTATACTGTGGAGCCTGTTATTCTAAATGGACTCACGTTGCTCAAGGTAATTTTCTTAAACCCTTTGTTTGGCTTCTGAGAAAGTAGAGGAGAATATGAATGGAACCGAAAATGAAATTAAATAATTGGGTCCCTATTTATTGCTTTGCATTGGTTTCCAAACTAATGAAAACTTACCCTCACAGGATCCAAATTGTGAATGTCCTGTGATACAAAGATTAAATTCCCCATCTTTTCTTCTGTTCCCTGAGCAACCAAGCAGGGTAGCCTTGTAAAATTAAATGAGGTGACTATAACCAACATTGCATTTCTTGTAGGGACGAGTGAGTACTCGGGAAGTTTTTGCCTTGTCCAATTCTGATTTGATTCCAGGAAAATATGAAGGTCTGTGCTAATTGCTTCTTGAATTTTTTTCCTTTATAATTATTGGAACATGTATATTATGTTTTTTATGTTCATCAAGCATGATTGAGAATATTATGTGTTTGTTTGTGGGGTAGGGGGACTGAAATTGTGGGAAGGTTCCCAAGATTTAGTCAGAACTCTTTGCTCGGAGGTGCAAGATGGGAAATTATTATTGACTGGAAAACGAGTTTTAGAGGTGGGTTCCAATTGCTGAAGTGATTCTGTTCTCTTCTTTGCATAAACATGTTGACACTTAGCATGCTAATAACTCATTGGATGTTGTAGTTTGTGCATATGAAGGACTTTCCTTTGTGTTTTTAGACGTCTACTAAATGACATTTCTATCGATTTTTAGCAAGTATTCTGTTCTATACATTGAATGAGTATGTGTTGCTAAACCGATTATGGGCTTTTTTTTCAAAACTTTTGAAAAGGATACGTTGCTTTAATGGGTACTCTTGAAACCATGAATTGCTGTTTTTTATTTATTTATTTTTATTATTATTATTTTTTAATTTGCAATATGTTCTAATAATAATGGGTGCAAAAGACCTGATTTTATTTATTTGGTTACACCATTAGAAACTTTGCTATGCTGAACCGAGTTGAAAACCTAAAATTGAAGGATGAAACTTAAACATACTGAAGGGTTGAGTTACATGTACACTAGCAGCTAAAGTACATATGACTTGTTTGAGGAGAACACTTTACTTGAAATTTACAAACCACTTTTAACCATACTTTTGAGTTATGGAGCTAGTACTTAGTAATATTTCCACAGTTTGGAACAACTAAGTGCAATGTGATTTCAGTACTGTGGTTTTATTTTTCTAAGTTTGGCACATGACTTTCAACATTATATTTCATGATAAGCAAAGTTGAAAATGAGAGTGAATGTTGTGTTGGTTCCTTTGCCATAAAAAAACTAATGATCGGTAAACAATTCCCTTTGCCATCGGATTTTTGTTAGCTAGTCAATCTTTCCAAATATACAAAAAAAACTGGTTGTATCAACACTTAATGCGTCAATACTACTAACTTGTCCAAACAGCTCTTCAGTTAACAACCCAAAAATTTCAGTAAGAGATGATTTACAATTTACTGGATAATACTAAAGTGCTGTGAGTACTGCGCTTCCTTCCTCAAAAACTAGTGTCGTGATTAAGCTTCTTCCAACTTGAAATTATTTTGACACATTTGCACTGATACTACACAAATGAAGACCAAAATTGGGCATTGACAATCAAAGAACACATTTGGTCAATGCTTGGTGCAATGCTAAAAGCTTGAGTTGTTGAGTGTGAGAAACTTGGTTTGAGTTTGATAGCAATCACTTTGAGTAAGATGACACTAAAGGTTTAATTCTGTATCCAATCCACTCATCTCAGCAACTTGTATAATTCAGAGCATCTTTTTTATGGTCCATTTGGTAGGAGGGAAGAGTGAGAGGGAAGTTAGGATGGCAAGGAGGAATCGATCAAGCTTCTATTTATCAGTAGGAAGGAAAACAGAAGGCAAGAAAAGAGAGGAGGGAAGAGAGCCTTCCATCCCCTTCCCGCCTGAATTTTTTTTTTTTTTTTTCTCCCAGAATTGGTGAAAAGGAGGAAAGGGTACTCCCCTCCCCATATTTTTTTCATTCAATCAGCATATTTCCAGTAATATATTGGTATAATGGTAAAATCATGTGATACCTTTCTCCCCCATTTCCTTTTGTTAAACCAAACAAAAGGAGGGAAAGATCCCTTCCTTTTTGTGGGGTCATCCCTCCTGCCTTGCAATCTTTCTAATTTTCCATCCCTTGTACCAAATGGAGCTTAAAGAACTGGAAGACACTAGTATCCTCACTACCATATGTTTACTCTTCATTGTGATAATTGTGATACTTTTCTATAATTCATCACAGTTGCATATGTGGTCTGTATGTTCTTATCTAGCAGACATTATCATCTTCAATTTACTTTCTTTTAGGGCTTTAGTGTGGACTGTGGTTAGAAATTTAATTTTGAATCTGGACTTGAAACATCTCTAAGGCTTATGAAGTTCTAAAACTTTTTTTGAAGTTTATCCACCAATTTTATTTGTTGTTTTCCAAGTTTAAGTTTTTCTTAGTTCATTATCCCTTGATTTTATGTCCTTATATATGATTCTCAGGACACATTTCATTTGTATATTTTCATCAAATTGTTACTTTTGATATTAAATTCCGTTCATGGTCACGAAAGAGAGTGAAAACTCAAAAGTTAATCATATATATATATATATCTTTGATAAGTAAAAGTTAATCACATGTATGCATGTATTTTCAATAAAAAAAAAAACTCACTGACAGTCCAGATCTTAAGCAGAATCAAAATCCGCCATTATAGGTCCCCACAATTGTCTCCATAACATACTAAAGTTTAAGTCCAGCAGAACAATATTTCTAAAATCCTTTTCCACCTGCTATATTACTCCAATCTAGGATGCCAGGCATGCATGTCTAAAAAAATTAGACAACTAAGTTGGGAAAGCCTTTCATTGTGTGAGATACGTACTGAGACAGATCTTCTATCGGTTACTTTCTCTTTTAACACTGCTATTAGCTTATTACTGAATCTGTTCTTGATGGTTTTCAGCTTGGATGCGGCCATGGACTTCCTGGAATCTTTGCATGCCTTGAGGTAATATGCATGTCCTGTCCATTGTGGTGTTGAAGACAAGATGCCTGGAAATATCTTGTGTTCTTAGCAAATTTTTTTTTTTTTTTTTGCCTCAGGGTGCCGCTGTCATACATTTCCAGGATTTTAATGCAGAGGTCCTTCGATGTCTCACCATTCCCAATGTAAATGCAAATCTTCCAAAGGAGTCTCAATCTTTGACTATAGATGTAGTAGAGTGGAACACCAGGGCAGACATTCGTTTCTTTTCTGGTGACTGGAGTGAAGTCCATCAAGTTCTCCCCTATGCACATCCAGACAAAGAGGAACCAAATTGTAGCTCAGGGATGAATGTAACTGCTGGTTATGATATTATTCTTATGGCAGAGACAGTTTACTCCATCCCTGCTCTTTCTAACCTCTATCAACTTATTAAGAAGGCGAGATGTTATATATTTTTAATTCATTGCTTCCCATACGGTAAAGTTCTTGATGCTTGAGCTTCACAAATGCTTTATTTACAGTGCATGAGCCGTCCTCATGGAGTTGTGTACATGGCTGCAAAGAAGCATTATTTTGGAGTAGGAGGGGGATCAAGGCGCTTCCTATCGTTAGTGGAGAAAGATGGTGAGCTAAGCTTTTTCAGTTACAGTCGCTGTGAATTTTGAAGAATCCATATCGTAATGAAGAAAAATGGTCCTCAAGTCGAGTTGGCATAAACCAACTCTCATAAGGGATTGTGGGCCCACCACCCTCTTGTGAGAGAGCCGACTCGGCTTATATAGCATTGTTCCATAATGAAAGTTGGAGAGGTTTCTTTCCTCTTTCTGTTTGGGCCATTGAAAGGTTGCCTCCTAATTTATGCATGTAGCAGAATTTGTTTCGGTAGTCAAGTCTGCATGCAGTGGTCTCTTTTAAAAAGATTTCCCTTTTGGGGCAAGTATATGCGCAAGCATGCTTAGAGCATGAGGATGCATTAATTTGGTTAATATGTTCTGAAATATATATGTTGCTTATATATTTGTGTCTTATATGCATGAAACTTGTTTGCATGCTTAATATTTTTTTCTGAGATTTAACCACTGGATGATATATTGAATGTGAAGGATATGAACTCAAGATTTCTTTGTTCTCCCTTGTTAGTCTCATGTGCATAGTTTTTTGCTTTTTTAGGGGTAAATGTAATGGGGCACATGTTACCCTTGAAAGGCAAGGCATAAACCTTTTTATTTTTCAGTGATAATGTTCAGAAGCATAGACAATTAATTAAGAATTAAGAGAAGAAATAACAAAATGAGCTTAAAATATAACCCTTTTGTCATTTTCTATATGTATTTTATATGATCAAATTGTTGTTCAAAACATGCTGATTGTTCCATTGGAGTATAAAACGTAATATATAAAAAAAAATGAAGGATAAAATGTAAGCTCATATTAGAGGTGTGAAGCAAAAAAAAAGGTGTATGAGGTGTATGCCTCAAGCTTGTAACGCATAACCTTCTGGCTTCTGTGACACCTGTGAAGCATCAGTCTTACTTGTTGAGGTATAAAAGACTCTAGGCTTGTTGAAGTATGTTCATACAGTATAAGGTTATTGATATGCTGGTCCTCTATCTGCAGGTGTTATTGCAGCCAGCCTGGTTGCCGAAGTTGCAGATGGTTCCTCAAATGTTCGAGAGGTATGGAAGCTTTCACTTAAGTAGATTTTGGAATCACCAGAATTAGTTGTACATGTCTACTCTCGATTAGTAACTTAGTTTTCCGATAAGAGGGATCATGTTTGATATAAATGTACTCTGTGCACAGAATGGAAATACAGATTCTTCTGCTTTGCAGCTTAAATTTGCTTTTGTTCTACTCGATTAACATTCTAGATTTTTGTAATAGGGTACATGTAGCAAAACCTAAATATCATTTTAATGTTAGCAATTTTTGTGGCAATTATGGTTTCTATATCTATTTATTTGCTTTCTTATAGACACTTAGATTTTGGCTGCTATTTGTTATGGTTTTTAAGGAACTTGTAGTGGTCTCCGTTATGGTGGTGGGCCCTAGTATGTTTTCATTTTTGTCCATATGAATCTGTAATTGACTGATGCATTGTCATATTCAAAAGTTGCCACAAATCCTCTTATATGCACTTCTTTTGTTGGCCAACCATGTCCAAGTATTATTAACCCCATGCTCAAGTTAGGAGATCAATTACACTACTGGAACTAGGTTGAGCCTTGGCTTAATGCCTATGGTCTCTGATAAATTTTATCAACTACTCCGTAATTCTTACTACACACTGAGTGAATTGTATCCATGTCACTTTATCTATATTACCAAGGGCTTAGCCCAGTGGTATCTCCTCCTTCCAAATGGAAGTTTGACGGTTCAAGTCTTCGATAGGACAATAACTAGTGCGTGTGATTTACTTCCCAAAAAGGGTAAAAAAATGGTTATCTATATTTCCTATTGACTACCTAACTGTTGCCGTACCTGATATATCAACTATCCGTACCGATGTATCAACTATTTAACTGAAAGTTGTTTGAGTTTTCAGTACATATACTTTACTTTTCAATTATGAAACTTTTTTCTAATTAACTCCCCCACCCCAACAATAACTAATACATATAATCCTTGATAGTGAAAGGTCATACGGATGGAACCAACGACCAGTGGCCTAGTGGTACTAGGCTCCTACTTTTCAAAGGAAGGGAAGGGGTTTGAACCTCGGTAGAGGCATGTGTGTGTGAGTACCAATTAGGGAAATTAAAAAAAAAAAAAAAAGGTCATACGGATGTGCCTACCATTATTGGTGATTTACTGAAGTCTTGAACTATTTTATGGTCTGTAATATTGCCTTGACAGGAGGTTGTGAAAGCTCATATAATAACTGTCCCACCCTCTCTATCTATTTATCTCTATCTATCTATTTATGCATTTGGTTCTCCCTCAAAGTCAAAAAGGAAAACCTTTGGTAGGGCATACCTCTGAGTCACTACCTAACTGCCCCTCTGCCCAATAGAAGAGTCAAAAGTTGTCTGCAGTGATACAAATAATTCAAAATTAGCTAACAAAAAATAGTATAGATAATCATGAGTTCGGAAATGCGGGTTTGAATATTATGATAGCAGCCTGTTTCTGCAAATAATGTTAGAAAGGGTTGTATCCACTCTTATCCTATGTTATTACTCTTGATTAAATGAATCTCACTAGGTAATTGCCTTTAGTGAATTAACATGATTCGAGAAGTTTTATAAATCCCATGGATGATAATTATCCATCAATAATTTGATAAAACGTTGAATTATGTAGAAAAAACTTGTGTTTCATTCACAAACGGGTATTCACGATGTTGTCATGAATGAGTAGGAATTGTTAGCATAATGCTTGAGAAATAGAGAGAGAAACATAGATACATATAGCTCACAATGAACATAACATGTAACATAAGATCATGAATCATCCCTGCAATGATAATATTTAGGGCAACCTCTGGTTCGAGGGTTAGATGGAGGCGGCAGACAGCTCTTGCTGTAAGATTCACCTTTAGCACCACCATTGCATACGGGTTGGTCTGGCTTCAAAGCCCCTGGTGAGATGTACTTCTTATCTGCAAGAAACCTTCTACTTATCTCGGATTCCATCAAAGTCTCATACTCTTCTTCATTACACTCGGCTATTGAGCTGTTGCACGGCACATATGCATTGGCCGTGCTGGAAACGGCACGGCCGTGACACACCATGCCAAGGACTAGAAGAAAGCAGAGATGGAGTGGTATCATATTGGATCTTTTTTCCATTTCTTCCTGTGACTTTGTTTCTTCCCACTATGAATCCCTTTAAAAGAGTATATAGCTTTTCTGAAGGTGATAGTGGAAGCCACACTAGAAGCCATGGGTCCGCACTTCACCAAAATTGATGTCTTTACAATTTATTATTAAATAATGCTCTATTTTAATTTTCACATCTTTATGAATAATATGGTTCGTATAACAATTTAATACACACAATGACATTATTATATAGTTGTTTTGAAAATTATGGATGATGGTATTAAGAGATCATACTGGTCAAGTGTGCCCATCATAATAATGTCTTCTAGTCTTCAGTTACATACTATGTAATACATACATATGTAATGATAGTGCATTATTAGAGGCTTGAATTTTTATATCACTAATCAGGACACAAGCAAAAAGCCTGTTGCTGCATTTTATTTATATATATATATATATATATATATATATATATATATATATATATTCATTACAAGTGGGATATTCGTTAAATCTTTTCAGTTTTGGCATTCACTAGAAGATCAAATTTATAGCATATCTGATTTTTAGTCTGTGATAGTATAGCAGTGATCTTATATTTTGGAGCAGATCCCCCAAGTTAAGCAATTGTATTGGGTATGAGTATCACTATTTTTTTTTTTTTTTATTTATTATTATTATTATTTATTACGGTGTTAGTACAAGCATGTGATACCATCTTTATTGGAAAAATGAAGGGTTGGGGGATAGCCAACCATTGTTTGATCACATGACTTGATATAGAAGACAGGCTTTGCCATTAAAAGTTATCATCGAGTTTGAAGAAAAACGACTTTATCAACCAAAGGAATATGGTTGAACATTGGAAAAGTAATCACTTGACAAATTTAACTCATTTGAGGAAGTTCATTAAAAATTGCCATGTTTTACCATTTCATATGCACTCTTTTATTTTTTTATTTAAATAAAATTTAAACAATATTAATTCGTTGGTTTGGATGTAAAATATATATTTTTTTATATTTTGGTGTTTGATTGTGGTACAATATTTACGAAGAAAAAAAATACTATAACCTGGCAAATTATTTTTTACGTCATACTCTATCTCGACTTGAACCTTTTTTGAACACCGAAAAATAAAAATAAAAACAAATATATATTTCATTTAGAAAAAAAATATTTTATGTCAACAAAAGTAGCAGTACTTTCACATCAATATTTTGACTTTTTCCACGTATAAATATATTTTATAGTACATTTTGAAATTTCTATTGAAGTACTTATCATGAGATGTTGAACTATTTTTTTTGGCTACTTCTTTTTCTATAAGATTGAGCGTCCAAAAACAGGTTCAGATAGAAGAAAAGAATATAGCCTCATTTACTTACTCCTATGCGTGAAAAAAATAAAGAAATAACTAAATAAAAAAAGAAAAAAAGAAAAAAATAAACAAACAAATAAACTCCTATGCTGATAATATGACCAAACACAACACATCCTGAACGATATTGAAGTAGCAACTTCAATTATATAATGGTTGTCTCAAAACAGGTGATTCCTCACTTTGCGGAGTGGAAAACGTGCCCTTATGAAACATACCAAACACAACACATTCTGAACGATATTGAAGTAGCAACTTCAATTATATAATGGTTGTCTCAATACAGGTAATTCCTCACTTTGCGGAGTAAAAAACGTGCCTTTTATGATAGGTGCTAATATTGAATTATTACTTTAGAAATAAAAAATAATTAATTATCTTAGTACAATAATAAGGTTGCTTCATTATGATTAGAAGGTTACGAGTTCTTTAAACAAATAATCAATCTCTTCGCATGCGGAAATCAATCTCTCCGCATGCGGAGATAAGATTACGTATACCAAATCGTTATAAAACATAGATGCTAATGTTGAATTATTATTTTAGAAAATAATAATAATAATAATAATTAATTATCTTGGTACAACAATAAGATTACTTCATTGTGATTTAAAGATTACGAGTTCTTTAAACAAAGAATCAATCTCTTCGTAAGACTACGTACACCAAACCGTTTCATTGTGATTCGAATGTTACGAGTTCTTTAAACAAAGAATCAATTTTTCCACAAGACTACGTACACCATACCACCCCTAGACCTGCAATGGCGAAAGGCCTCGGGCACTGGATTTGCCCTTACATTTGCTTCCCTGTTAAATGTCATTTTATTATTTTTTTTCATATTTAAACTATATTTGTTTGCCTAAGAAATGTCGCACACACTCATCACAAGTCATACGTACCATAAATCCTCTTACAATCTCAAAACAGGAATGCTATGTTTGGCCCGCACCACCTTTGATTTGGAATTGGAGAATCTTCCAATCCCAAATCCAAGGTATCAATTCGATGCTCCCAAACATAATAAAATTGTTTTTCGATTATGTTAATATACGAAAACAATCGCCACCAAAAATTGATGGTGCGAAAATAATGCTGAAGTTAAATATTTTTTCAGTCTTCCTCTCCCATTACCCTACATGAGTAGGACCAATCTTAAGAAATGGACAAAGATCCTCTTCAGCACAAGAGAGGTCATGCACATAATCCAACCATTTATCACAAATGAATCTCATTTATCAGTTCAATCTCCATGTATAGATTATGTGCATGACCTCTCTTGAGCTGGAGAGGATCCTTGTCCGACTAAGAAATGGCCTTCAATACAATTTTGAATCACACTGTAGCCAGTCAAATATAAATGGCAGCCGCTCTTCCATAGCAAATCTCCAATTTTGAGTTCCAAATTCTAGTTCCTACTGAATTTAATTAAACAGCAAATTTAACATCAGAGGCTCATATTATTACATAAGTAAAGGCATGATGTTCATCGAGTACCTTTACTTCATCCATCAACTGGTGACACTGTACTTGACATATACTCATCGCTAAACATGACCATTTTAAAAAGGATTCAAGTTCTGATTAAACCCATATGTCCGAAGTGCAGTCACCACCTGGATATCTCATCTCGTGGGCGAGGCAAGGACCATCAGGTTCGGAGGCGAAGTCAACGAAGAAGTTAGGGTTTATTGCAAGACCACCTTCTCAGTATCAACATCAAGCTGTAACATGTGGGAACCTTTCTCCATGAGTTCGGGATAAAACTGACGGTCCCATGTACTGAAGAGTGAGTTGGTAACGTAGAGCCGCTTCCCATCTAAGCTCAATTGTATCATCTGAGGTCCTCCTCTCAACCGATTTCCCTAAAACAAAGACAAGAAGCTCATCGATAATTCTTCAGACAAGTCTAATTTGGCCAAGGGTATGTCCTATTCTATCACGACAAGTGACGAAAGTGATACCATGACATTGTACTAGTGAAATGAATAAAGAGAGCCTTGAATTTCTAATTAAACTCGGAAATGATACATAACTGAATCTATGGGACATCAAACTGGTACGTCGAACCATCTTCAGCTTCAGCCAGTACAGAGCTGCCTTTTTGAATCTGCCCTCCAATCCATACTTGGCCCTTCAGCACTGGATTCTTAGGATCCTCGATGCTATACTGTCTGACATCTCCATGAAGCCAGTTCACTAAGTAGAGATAACGGTCATCGAGAGACATCAGAAAATCAGTTATAAGTCCAGGCATTTCAGGAAGAATCCAGTTTTGCACCTTTAGTGGTTTCACTGATATTGCAACCTGCATATTCAATTGAAAGTTACCGGATATTAGATATAAAGTGTCTTTTTAGAAAATGTGAACCAGGTGGATCGGTGGTGTCTGCTTACCTCATGGGACCATGAGTCATCAGGGTTCTTGAAGAATCTCACCACGTTGCTAGTTAAGGCACACCCGACCAACCCTGTACCTTTAGTTGGATCATGCAGAAATCTTATCTGCAAACGAGTGCAAATGACATAAATATGATGGAAGCAATGCAAAATGTCTCAATGATGAGATATTATAAAAAAAGATCATCATAAAACTGCCACTTTGAAGTTTGAAACAACAAAGAAAGAGGCTACGGATGAAGTTTCCTATACTCACCTACAAGGGTAGGAGCCCTGTTTGTCCAAGATCCAATGTCTGCTTTAGTTCACCATCAGACCAGTTGCAGACATGTAAATGGCGCCCGTAAAGACCATCTTAAACATGCTGAAGGTTGAAACCTTGGGTGAAAGCTGCTGGGGCTCCCCATGATGTGCTGATCATGGTGTTGGGGTTGGTACCAGAAATCATACCCAAAAAGTGGACTATGCCCCGGTTTTTCCCATCTAGTACAAATAAAAAAAATCTTTGAAGTTATATATATAACCCAATTTGCAGATTATGAGCTTGTCTGCTCATGTGATTACAATTTTTGATCTTCACAAACCATGTAATATATCTGACTCCATCCTAGGGAAGTGCTCAAATGATCTTCTATAAATCATGTTCAGTTCCTCATAATTATAACAATCATTTATGAAGAAGAGCGATCTAAAAAACTACGTTCGACCACTATCTGAAAGTCATATGCTCGAACTCTTGACATCATAATGACAAAATATGATATTTTCAAATCCAATAATTTTAAAATGCTATTTTCAAACAAAATAAATCAAAAAGAGTGAATGTAAAGATGGCAATTGACATTGTAACAGAATAGACATGTCTGCATATTGTCATGTGCTCAAGTATTACACAAACAAGGTGTATTTCACTAATAAATCAAACAACGGGCAATAGTACCTTCCTTTCACATTAAACTCTTGAGTCAAGCAGAAGAAACCCATTCCCCTCGGCATTTCCATCTTTATCTCCAAGGCATGACACCATCAAATCACCAGATGCAAGGCAGTGAGGTGTGTGGATATGCTAATCCAATCTTCTGTACAATTGTTGGAAACGGGAGCATTATAAACTTCGGATGAGATTTGGAATAGATTCCGCTAAGAATTTTTTGCGGATCTCTAGACGAGCGCGTTTCTCTCCGCAAGGAGATGAACGTGGTATATTTACTTTCTCAAATCCGTT